TACTGCCCCAGTATATATTCGGATTACTCTTCTTTAGACGAATTGACCTTATAAGGCAACCCGGTAACAGCATAATGCACTTACCGGATCAAAGTTACATTAACATCTTGCTGCGCTTTACTCTTCCGTAGAGCATGACAGTATAAATGTTTTCTGCCGGCCAGCTTTATTCTTAAATTCATGTAGCCATTAGATTGCATAACCTTACCAAAGTGTCGCTGCAGCTGTATCCTCATTGACTTCAACACAAATAGGCCTACCAAGTAGCAAAATTTAATATGAATCTGGTACCTTTAACCGACTGCATGAGACGCAACAACCGGTTTTCACAGACGCAAATGTTTATATAACCGTGCCATCCCTGAGGGGCGTATGTGTGGAGTAGAACAGATGAAAAATCGCAGTTTGTCACCAACTTGTGTACGTCTAAATTTTTATCTGTCCCTTATATTGGTCACAACAGGAGGTAAGCAAACGTTGCCTTGTCCGTTCGACGTTCACTAACACCAAGTGTATATCTGCCTGAGAAAGTAAAGAAAACAATACAATGTAGTAACCGACTTATTTGTTTTTCTGTGATCGGGGGCCTACTGTAAGGCCATCCTTCTATCAATACCGCTTCGGTAATTTAAGACTTTATGTTCTCCGCCGTCCAAAACGAAACGAAAACGGTGTTAAGCATGATACGCAGAACGCAGTTATCTGCTGCACATTTTCTTGATATTTTAATTCTCATTTCTTCCCTATTGCTAAACACTACCATATTGAAGGCGCTAATCACGTCTGCAAATACACCATCTTACTACACTGACGATTCCATCGCATTTAGCAAAGAGGCCTCAAACGACCACAGCATCTCGCATATTGGAAGCCGACAGGAACAAACGAGGCGTGTAGCTGACGCTTCCAACGGCTGCGTGGAGACTTTAACTCGAAATAAGAGTAGTATCTATACACTCAAGATGAGTGAACAACCAGTTGCAACATAATTACCGCTCATTAAAGGTGCATACAAGGAGTATTAAATCAATGTTGTAGACAATACAGCGTAAACTCGCCAGTAAACTATAAAAACAATTGTGCCCTGGTCACTCAAAATATGCTAAATGTTGGACGACGGAAGAATAGTGAGCACGAATGCAATCACAAAATGCTCTTTTGCTTCCTTCTCTCAGAGCACGTGAATGCACAATGAGAAAGTACACCGTAAAGGCAGTGACTCGCATCGACGAGTTTTCTGATGCAAAGCTTTTGCAAGCACTGTTGTAGGCAGTAACAGGAACATCAGAAAATATCTGTGCTGGAACGCCTCTATTCCGAGGCTATTACCTCAAGAATCTAGCTCTTATTATGAAATCGTTGCATAGTAGACTATAGAAAGGTTACAGCAAATCATAGGCCTAGTAGACTAACACACGAGAAGTGATAACCCGAAGTAATACATCGTGACAGAGCGAACAATAAACAGTGGTTTATGACGCGTAATAAAAGCACAAGCTTAACATATCCCGTAGGTTGGTAAAGATAAGAGGTGGAAATTGGCATACTAAATAAGCGCACCAAATAAAGTGCTCATCGGTGAACCGACCGAGTAATAATATAAAAATAAGTGGGTTATTGAGGTGAGAAGGAACGATGCCAAACGGATCAACATGTTGTTATGGTTAATGCTAAAAGCAAATACAATCGGATCGTTCAACATTCTGCACAGATTTACGCGCGTCATTATAGTTTATACTTCAAAGCAATCTAATTATCCTGAATAGGTCCAAAATCTCCGTTCATGTGACAAAGTTTGGAGAGCTTGACACGATACACACTCCTTTGTTGAAAATCGCGGAGATAGGTGCACAAACAGCTGTTTGGAAGGGCAGAGGGAGAAAGAAGTTTGTCGACAAACTAGACGACTGGATTATCGACTTCGTTTCAGGTGCTTGACTGACTAGTTGGAATTATTTCTACGTTTCAATAGGTGACGGCATACGTGACCGGGGTCGCTCAGTATTTGGTAAACTAATATGTGGTCTCCACGTAGCCGCCGGTAGCATCCACTGAACATTCCGAGCATCTTCAGTCGTAGCTGGTACGGAAAGTGGAGCAAACCCTTAACAAATTCTGTTTTTCGACGTTATGAGGTATCAAGCGTTGTAATGTGACGCTTTAGCAAACTTTGCTGGACCTGAATAGCGTAATCGACCTGGGGACGCAAGTAGACATTGGGCATCAGACAGAAGATGCATGAATCCAAACTCCCAAACGTCTTCCGCAAGAGACCGAACTGATGGATACCTCTTTTTGATTCGGACTCTGACTGTCGGAAACAATCCATGTTGTCCTGTAACAGCACGTCGAAGTCACTTTCCTGAGCTCTAGTCCGCAACTCTTACGTCACAAGTTTATACATCTAAGCGTGTCGATGTCGGATGTGGACAATGCGGCACTTTGCTACATTCAATGGCAGGCCTCATCGTGGTTACGTTGGAGGACTTGGTGGTCGTCCGATCCCTTAATTTCTCTCAAACCTTAACACTGTCCGCGAAGAGTAAAACTTTTTAAGATGATAATTCTCGCCAGGTTTTTGATAAAAACTATAAGCAGACGAGGCCCATGCATCGAATCAGGTCGGACAAAGATGTACGCATCATTAGGTTTATTATGACTTCGAGCAGATTCATTGCAGCTAGACGCAGTCAGACAGTCACCACGACTCCATAACTGCGCTAGCCAGCCGCTTCATCCTGTTGGGACTCGTTAGTATCACGCACCCGCCGAATCCTGCCAGATTCGAACTCCTAACCTTACTCTTACGAGCCAGCTATTTATGCACTAAATCACCGACGACGATCTCAGAATGCCATCGCAAATATCTGAGTAATGTATAGCATGGCTCATCCTCCACTTTCATGGAGGTTATTAACCAGCAGAGGAAAGGGCTGGCCCTCGGAGCTGTGACTTCCTTTGCAAGCTGCCACCAATAGAGGTGGCATGTAAACTGCAAAGATAACTACTGGTTATTAGTGTGTAGTGGGAGGCTTTATCATACGCCATATCACAGTTAAATACTAATTATGACGGTCCGCGGCCGTCACTCATATCTCAGTGACATAGGTCACTGGCTCGTAAGAGTGAGATTATGGACTCGAGTCCAGCAGGATTCGGCGTGTGCGTGGCACTGAAGCGTTCCAACAGAACGAACGTCAGTCTAACGTTTTTCTGGAGGTGTATTGGCTGTCTGCATGAGTCGAGCTGTGATGAATCTTCTCAAAAAGTTATGCGGACTCCAACCTACATTTACCTTTCTCGGATCAATTATCTAGCATCTTAATACTAGATCTCCGAGGCCGTTGTTGTTTTCGTCGTTGAAGTTCATGAAACAGGATTCGATGATCCAAACAATCGAACGCTTCCAGAAATTCCAAGTAGCTGACATCGGTTCCTCTCATTCCATCGACTGTTTCGGCCCAGTTGTCGTCTGCTATCAGCAGCCTCGTGGTACATGATCGCTAATCGTGACCTTGAACGAACCTACGTGCTAATCGCTCACTTATGCACTCGTGGTTTTTCTGCTGTTGCTCAGCGACATGTTGTCGCATACCTTTGGAGTTATGTTTACTCGCCGCGCTTTTACAAGCTTTATCTAATGATACCGCTTTCTCGAGCATACTCCAGCGCATCCTACCTTTGCCCTGAATGCTGAATTCCGGGCAGTGTTTCGCCGTTACCCAAGCGCCGAAAGTTGCGTAACTCTAACCCTCGGACATTTTTTCGTGTCACTCAATGGAACATTTCAACGGCTTTCGGACGAACTCTGCGTCATTATACTTCAACATTGCTTGGAGCAGCTACAGGTCTCGCGTCAAATTCACCTGGGATGATCAATAGGTCTATCCACGAAAATTCTTCATCGTGCCGTCGTGTAGTCCGCCCCATGTTCACGCTGAAACAACCGACTAGCGCGCCAGAGAGGACAGTCTTCAAGAACACAACTGCGAAGTTATCGCTGTGACCTTGGCGCCAGTGTCGAAAACAGAACAACTGCTTGCCATCGATGGTGAGCCACGCTAATAGTTCGCAGCATTTGTTCAACAAGTGCATTGGCTAGTGTGCCACAGTCTAAAGACCTATGTGGATCATGTGCCAAACTTATTAAGGGGCGTTCAGTGTAGCAATGCTTGCATGGTTTTCCATGCGAGCTGCGTCCGAGTTAAATATACTGGGGTCAACTTATTGAACAAATCAGATTCTCTATGGTTTTGCGTGGAAAGCACAATAGATCGTACAGCCGTACTTAGAGCCAGCGCGGATTTTTGCTTCACAGTGTGCTGCATACTACTTTTGCCCGGGATTACTGTGTTATACGTGTTTTTCAGTGTGAATCGTGCAACAATACTCTTCTTTTGGTGTATTTTCCAATCGATGAAAAGTTTTTGGATATTCTTTGGCTAATTCAGGAGATCGCATTGACTGAGCTTGCTGCCATCTGTGTCCGCCATCTTAGATTTGCGCTACCTTGTAATGCCGTCTCAAGTTACTTGTGGTTCGTGTTCGAAATTTTTTGGACCTAAGGCTCACGCACTTCGGTGCTTCGGCTGCGATGTTCTGTTCCATATTTCGCGCATTGGCTTATCCAATGAAACATTTCGGAAATCTTTCGGCATCCAAGTTCTGTTTTTACAAGTTATATGTGATAAATGTCACGGTGCAAGATATCAGAATGCACAACAACCGCCAACAACTACGGGAAAACCTTTCTCCCAGGCAAAAACAAACGGCTCAACACGTGGTGTCAAACGCCCTCGTAAAAGTATCTCTGTCACCTCACCTTCCCTTTTCACTCCGCGATCGGCACCACCACAAGTGTCTTCGACCCCGACCGACTCTCAGGTTCAATGTTCCTCGTCGATGGAAGACTCGGGCACGAAAACTACGAAATGCCGCTTCACTGATCGGTCCGCGAATTTCACGGAGCCTGTCTACGAACCTCTGAACACCAAGGATCCATGGACCACTCAAAAGCGCAATCGGCCAATAATGGAGTTCAGGCGTCTTCTGCTGCTAAACAACAACCCAAACAGATAAGCACCTCTAGTCCAGCTTCCACAGGTTCATCACCGATTTTGCTGAGGCGTCATAAGCTCATGGTCTTCCACGTACCAAGGTCAAAAGATGAAAACCCTGATATACGTTATGCTCGCGAGGTTGAGTTCTTTCAGGGTCTCATCGATAGACTCTTGGATGTGGGCGAAGCCAGTGTGACGATACAACAAGTGATTCGACTTGACCAGAAAACTAATCAGTCATGTCGACCTCTGAGAATCACCTCTGCAAATCACAATATGTCGCAGCTCATACTGTCTCGTCTGTCAGGGCTGAAAGGCATAAACGTTCACATCCACCGAGACTTGGAACCCGAAGACAGGGATTGTTTGAAGACTTCGGTCATTAAGCTCAAACGCCGTACTGAAGAAGGTGAAACTGATTTACAAATTGTAAAGTTTCACGTGATCAAGAAGGATGTACGAACCGTATCAACCGGTTGCTCAACCTCCAGTCACACCCCGAGGTACTTCCCAAGACCTCCATGTGGCATTCGCCAACGTGTGTAGCCTAATGAATAAACGTGACGAACTGTGCCATCGCTGTCTCGGAGCGGCCGGTCGTTTTAGGACTTGTAGAGACTTGGCTGAAATCCGACGTCAAAGCCCAAGAAGTCGCGTCGTCAGGATACTCTTGTTTCCGATGTGACCGAAAATCAAAGGCTCACGGTGTTCTGTTGTACATAAAATCGTCACTATCTGGTAAACTTACAAGCACCTATCGGAGCGAGGACAATTTATGCAAGCAATCGTGGTGTACAATCCGCCTCAGACGCGCAGAATTCTATTAGATGTTACCTACCGTAGCTCAGTAAACTGTTGCTGCGATTGGCTACCATATATACAGAAGCACATCAGCCGCCCTCAATTCTTATTGATGGGGAATCTAAATTTACCTGATATTCTGGCCAGACGTTCGGCTTCTTCCCGGTCATGGCAACGTTGAGGCTCATTTCGTTCAACTGATTATTAGAATCGGGGCAAAGCAATATATCATCCAACCAACGCGAGTAACTCCGCACTCGGCAGCTTGTCTGGATCTTAAGTTTACGACCTGCGAGCAGAAGCTGAACGAGATCAGAGTCCTCGAACCTCTGGCGAACAGTGACCACTGCTCCATTCAGGCAAGCATAGAACTGCCGTTACCGTATTACAACCATCGGATGCCGGCATACAACTATTAGAAGAAGGACTACAACATTTTTCGTCCAAGCTTCTAGTCAGACTGATTGTACACTATTACAGGATGCGTCGCTTGAGGCCTGTCGGTCATTAATGAGGGGCAAGCTTAACTCGCTGTGTACTCGGTTCGTTCCCCTTAAGTATTCAAAAGCGAACCTGTCAAACCGTATTGGTTTTATACGGAGTATATACAGTGGAACGGCGTCGCACATTTTAGAATAGATACATCAGCTCGGGTTTTGATGAAGATTACAAGGTGTACAAGAAACAGCGTAACTTATGTAACGCCGCAAAGATCAAGAAACGCCGGTAGTTCGAACAGGAGCTAGCATCATCGACCACAACGGCACCTAAAAGAATACTTGCCTACTTGAAACGTCAACTGAAACCTGAGGGCAACCTACCGGTCTTAGACAGCTTGGACGCACAGACTCTCATTTCAGGCGCGGAGCGCGCGAACGCCTTGGTTACGCACTTCCTCACTGGATTTTCCAGTAAACCGGCGGCTGTTTCAGTACCGGCACAGGTTGCGCCAGTCTTGCTTGACAGCCTACAATGTGATGCAGTCGAAGTGTATCAGCTACTCGTCAACCTCGGTGGTGCAAAGCCCATTAAACCAGACGGACTTCACCCACTAATACTCAAGTCCCTATCGAAAGTGCTCTCACCAGCCTACTCTATAAACCACTCTGAAGGATCTGTCCCCAACGACTGGAATGCTCGATAGTGAGACTGCTTCCCAAGGGTGGGGATACGAGTAAGTTAGTGAACTTTAGACCGATCTGTTTGTGTTGCATATTATCCAAAGTTCTCTAGAAGGTTGTGAAAACTGTCCGCTGTCGTTCTTCGAATCGATGGACGTATTGACATCAGCGCAACACGGTTTTACGAAAGGGCGATCCCGTATTACCAACTTAATGTACGCAAACCACCAGTGAGCACGAGCTCTCAATGAACGGACTTTTGTAGGGCGTTTGACAGAGTGAACCACGAGGTACGCCCTCCTAAACGGAGGACCTGTGGACTGAGTGGTACGCTACTTCCATGGTTACACGCGTTTATGGTGGGACGAAACTTTAAAGTGCATGGCAATGGCTACCAGACAGACTGGTTCCCATCGACCAGTGGCGTGCCTCAAGGAACTGTACTTTGGCCAGTATTATTTCTTATTTATATCAACGATCTTCAGTAGCAGTTCCAGTCAAAATGTGCCCTGGTTGCAGATGATTTGAAAAGTTGGAGGATCATAGTGAACCAGGACGACTGCGCTCGCCTCTAGCATGACTTAGAGCGACTGTCAACCTGGTACACTGAAATGCAACTCTCTCTTAACACGAGCAAGTCGGAGTTCATCAGTATCACCAGACCTTCCGCTACTTGGTCATACACTTTGGATGGCCAGTTGCTCCATCCCAACACATCTGTCAGAGACTAAGGAGTGCTCTCGCGACATGATACGAGATCATTAGAAAATACAGAAATTGTACTGTGCTCTGAGCATTACGACGCAGTTTCTCCACATCGTCCGAAGAAACCGTCTCTTGCCTATTCACCTCGCTCATTAAACCAATCACTGAATACGGCGCCCCAGCTTACCATCCGATAAACCAGTTGGAAACGGAAAATCTGGAGATAATACGGCACATCGCATCTAGAATGATACCGAGTCTACGAAAGTTTCCGTATGAAAAGCGTTGTGAAATTCTCGGACTCTGCACACTAGACTACGGTCGAGTAAGAATTGACTCTATTATGACTCATCGAATACTACACTTGCTTCACTTCCCATACTGCGGTCAATACTTCACCTGTGGGAACCCTGTAACACCCGAGGACACCGTTGCAAACTCAGGGTCCCCTGTATGAACACAGTATCACATCAGCTTTGTATAGAACGAAGAATCCTAAACTTATGGAAGACACTACCAAATAACTAGTAGAGTCTGATTTCGCGAAGTGTTTTGAAACACGTATCGATGATTATTTCGGAAACCTGTGCTTTTTTGAGCCAGTGCGCATACAATGCAAAAAATACATCATATACCCGGAAATAGTGACACCAATATGAATTCCTAACCGAACAATAATAAATGAGTAACTGACCAAACATTACCGCTGACGATTCTTAATAAAAGGTTTTAATTTTTTATAATTTGTTAGAGTTGTACGAAAACCTTTCTAGCTGCTCATAAATACAGTCTCAGGCTCAATTTCAGTGATAAAATGCGTGTTTCTGCTTTCTCAGAAGTACGACCGGCTACTAGCCACGTGTGAGGAAATGGTAACGACCAAGGTCACCACACATGTGAGGTAGGCATAGAGGACTGTGTAACCTAAGCCTCTCCAATAAGTGCTACTCCAAACCTGAGGAGAACGGCTGATAACACCGTAAGCACAACGACACCAACAGTCCATAAAATCAACTACTGTTTCAATACCACACGTGGCTTATATACGAATAATGCGGTTCTCACTACGATCGGAGTAGTTACACGCAAGGCTGCGTCCAATCTCCAGACGGAGTACATAGCAAAGGAGCAAGCGGTACTAGCGAATGTTGGGTTGCAGTTGTTTCCAAGAAAAGCCCTCAGTTAAACTTAATCTCACCCCCAACTGGATCGGAAACTGAAGGGCGAAACGGAGTTCCCCTGGTGCAAGCACCACCGGTTTTCTGCGGTACATCCCCGAGTAAGTCAACCACTAACCGCAGCATGTAGAAAGGAGCAAAGAAACAACTACCTGTACTGAGCGTACTGTGCGTCAGTGTCACAAAACCAAAGTCGACTTCAACAGCAAGCAGGTAGCTGGACGACCTCAATCAGTGGGACGTCATTAATAGTCTAATCGGAGTAGTATTGAAACCTGTACATGTAGTGCGGATTATGAGTCACCCCACATTTAAGCACTGCGGAGATCCAAGAGTTCTGCACGTTGTGCTTAACTCTATCACCGAAGTCGAAACAGTTCTACTGTCAATAGGTAGACTCAGAAATAAACACTACTACATCCGTGTCTTTCCAAACATCCCATGGGGCGAGCGTTGTCAAAGTAACCGCACCTTAGAGGCCTACCGGAAGGAAAATCTAACCATAACCATTCTTGTTTACGGCGTCCCTGAAATGGAAGCATGCTAGCAGCATGAAATAACAACCTATAATAACGAACAATGGCGTTCTATTTGTGAGACACACTCGTTGGATGATCTGCTAGCGAAATCGACGTCACGGCTGCGTACCTCTCCGAACTACAAAGGAGGAGGCCCGATAGCTTGAAAGTGATGCTATAGTCCAAAGGTACTGTAGTGAGCTGCTAAAAAGATGGTTTATGTTTCGTTTCAGACTGCCATATGAGCCTAGGCTGAAGACATTCAGCGATATACCCCTTAGAGATGATATGTCACTCAACAAACCAAGCTGCGATGGGAATTATAAAAGAACAGAACACCAGCAAGGTCTCTAATGAGCCCATGCAACCTGTTAAAGAAGACGGTGGCCAGAAATCTTACGCTGTACGTAGAAGATTAGATACGGGACTAACTACTCAGACGACGAATAAGACGTCGAACACTTCGCCAAATATTCACCGAAAAAACGAATAGTCGCCGCCCACCCACTGGTCGGCGAAACTTCACATATGAGTTGCACAACCACCAACACATAGCTTCACTCTGAGAAACCTCCATGTATGTACTCTAACGCCCAAAGACTCCTCAATAAACATACTGAAATTCGTCTACGTCAGATTGTGAATGTTTGGGACCTAACTTTCATTACTGTAACTTGGTTGCTGAGGTTGAGATAGATAGTGGAAATATCATTCATCTCAAATTGCTAGCAAATTCATTGCTATTTATGCGAGGTAGAATCCGCAGTGCTTGATATATAACCACATACACTGCTATCGCGGCAATCAAAGTACGTTTAGGTTTTGACATTTGAAGTCCCTTTATTTATCAAACTAACTACCCCCTTTTAGTGAATTAGGTAGATCATATTATGTTACGCGTGTTCGTACACCTTGCTAACATCAGCATCGTAATTACCGACTCCATCGTTTACACGTAATTTTCAACCCTGCAATTGTGCTAAGGAAGTTACTCTTTTGCGCAATCATAGCTCTCCGGGAGCAGAAAATTTCCGCCCGAAAACACTGAAGGCTGCGGCCAACCAGCTAGCTAAACCACTGTCACAGTTCTTCCAAAGATTCTTCGATGATCAGCAAGTCCCCACTATGTGGAAGCGTGACATTATCACCCCAACTTTTAAAGGCAGCAACCGTTCAGATCCTGCAAACTATCGCCCAGTGACTCTCCGCCCTGTGCT